TAGGTGTTTGTTTCTGTAAGGTGTGTAGGAATACCAGAAAATAAGTCATAAAAATAAAATTATTTTAAATGGCATTCAGGGAACTTAACATTTTTTTGTTTGTTTTAAATAGATATCATTTAAGTATCAAAATTCCAGTTATAATTATGTAAGTTGAATCTTGTCTAAATTTTATGGAGTTTTGAATTACCAACTAGAGGCAAGGGTCAACAAACTGCTCTTTTTGTGAATGAAGTTTTATTAGGAAAGTTCACCACCATTTCTGTATTATCCATTGCTATTTTTTACATTATAATGGCAAAGACAACTATAAACAGAAACAGGGTGGTCCACAAAGTCTAAAATATTTACTATCTGACCCTTTCACAGGTACGAGGGCTTTATTCTTTTTCCTGTGAAGAAATTTGCTGACCCCTGACATAGGCAATAAAATTTTGTCATTAATTGGAGCTTGGCATATTTTATCATGTTCTTAGTTTTACTTGTATTAAAGAGATGGAATGAATTTAAGCTTAGATTATAGTAAGGGAAAGTTTGTTTTTAGTTATTTAAATTTAAAAAGTGTTAAGTTATATGATTTATGTGAATTTAATAGTAGAATATCAGAGCTAAAAATATGTGCTCATTTAATATAGGGATTTCAGCCATACTCTGCTTCAGAATCACCTGAATAGCTTCTTGGTACCTGGATCCCATTCTCATAGATTTTGTTTCATTTGTTTAGTAGTTGGACTCAGGCTTTGGTATTTTTAAAACATCACAAGTCATGTGTAATCAGCATTAGGGCACCACTGATTTGTCCCACTCACTTTTTACAGATGAGGCAAATAGGGTTTAAGGAGGTTAAGACTTGCAAAAGACATGTAGCCATTTGGTGGGGAGACTGGACTAGAACCAGCCCTTTTGACCTTGCAAATAAGTACTTCCCTATGGATTCTGCATTCTCTAGTCTAGACCAGGAGTTGGCAGATTTTTTTTTTTTTCCTATAAAAGGTTAAAGAGTAAATATCTTAGACTTTGTGGACCATATGATGCTTTTCTTATTCATTGATTTAAAACCAAAACCAAAACCAGAATGTTCATTTCTTAAAATTTATGATAATCTTCACCAAAAGCTGCTTATTTCAGGGGAGGGGTAGTAGTGGGAAACTAATACACATAATAGAAACATTGCCATATTTTGATTAAAAGGCTATTAATGAAATGACGTTTTAAAAAATACTTGATGGACCTTTTTTATTAGTTTATTTATATGTGGTACTGAGAATTGAACCCAGTGCTTCACACATGCTAGGCAAGTGCTCTACCACACTGAGCCATAACCTCAGCCTGAAATGCCCTATGGTTAGTCCCTCTCTTCATCTACAATTAAGGATTGGTTGTTTACTCAGATTTTTGTGAGGATGAAAAGGCAGGTTTTCTCCCCGCACCCCTCAGTCTTAAAGTTCAAAGTTTGATGTAGAGGATAGGAGAAATTATATGGCAAGATTTTATCACACATTTATTTTAGTTCAGTATTTAGATGCTACCATGGGTAAAATGTTTTGGATATTTGACTTATTAACAACTAAGCTTGTTCTTAATAATAATTTTAGTCAGGGTCTTCATTCTTAGTAAAATTTATTTTCAGATTATTATCTTTGCATTTCTGATCCCACTAGTCCTATAAATTTGAATTTAATTGAGAATTATGGAAATAGTCAACTTAATACTCTGCTTGAGACTGTGAAGTGGTGGTGTTGGTAACATTGGACCATCTTTGACACTGTTGGTTTGCCAGTTTCCCTCTGACCTTTTCCAGTTTTGTTCATGGAGTATGTCTTAAAGGTTTCTTTCATGAGTAGATTTTGAACCCAGGTTCAAGGTGAGTTCAGAATATACTCAAATTCATTCAATCCTTTTTTTTTTCCTTAAATGCAGGGTTGTACATATTTTAATAATTTTCTTATGTATCTGGTATTTAATGCTGACAGGATTCCAGTCAATGGAGAGGTTTCATTGCAAGTAGCTGCAGGTGTGTTTCATGGTAGAGATAAAAGTTTTCAGTGAAGCAGATTTTGTTTTAAAACAATTACATCCTAAAACATAATTAATATAGATGTTGATTTTGTGGGGCAATATGGTATGCATTTTGTGTGTTATGCTGTACTGCTAAGTCAGGCAAAAGCATCAGATACCAAATCTTCTGAAAATGGTACTTAATATTTATTCTTAAATGGTTTAGATACTCTGGAGTGAATAAACTTTAAAGCATTCATTAGTATAATAGGGTGTATTTATAGTATTGTTTCATATAAAAATGTTCATTATCTGCAATGTATTTTTATTTGGTACTGTGTTCAGTAGGTCTCCTCAAAACCTTGTTAATGACTATTTAGCTCTTATGTTTTTGGTCATCCTAGAAAGTATGATTCCTTAATAAATTTGAGCATCTACTCTGTATTAGGAATTATGCTAGAGCAGGAATTGCTCTCAAGAATTATATAGTCTCAAAGCAGAGCAGTTGTAATGAAAATACATATATAGTGATTCAGTTTAAGATTAGAGGGTTTAAATTGTCTAGAAAACTGTCTCTTTTAATAACTGGTCTTAAAATATTTTATGATGGAATCTGCATTTCTCATAAATGGATACTCATTGCATAAGTATTGTGAACAAGGTTATTAAGTTTTTAATCATTTTTGGTCCATAACAGTAAGATTAATTCTTTGGAAAACTTGCATCAAAATAAAAATAAGATGTATATGTTATTTTACCTTTTCAGCTAGCTATAGTCAGCAGACTGGACCCCAACAACCTCAGCAGTTCCAGGGATATGGCCAGCAACCAACTTCCCAGGCACCGGCTCCTACCTTTTCTGGTCAGCCTCAGCAGCTGGCTGCTCAGCCGCCACAGCAGTACCAGGCGAGCAGTTATCCTCCACAACCTTACACTACCCAAACGTCTCAGCCTACAAATTATACTGTGGCCCCTGCCTCTCAGCCTGGAATGGCTCCAAGCCAACCTGGGGCTTATCAACCAAGACCAAGTTTTACTCCACCTTCTGGAAGTACCATGACCCCTCCTCCAAGTGGGCCTAACCCTTATGCACGTAACCGTCCTCCCTTTGGTCAGGGCTATACCCAACCTGGACCTGGTTATCGATAAGGAGGCCAGCTACACTGATGAATGTAGCTGCTAGCTGTTTGCCTCCTAAAAGACTCCAATACTATTTTATTTTAATTTGTATTGAAGTTAATTCAAAAGGCAGAGCATTTTTTGATATCATTGTTGCTGTTAATTGAAAGTATAATTTGCTAGAACAAAAGACCAAAATGAAAGTCGTTTTTCTTCCTCCCCTGCTTAAAAATGTAGCAGCTTTTTAGTTATTTTGGAACACTACATTTACATGTGTGTAAAGTGATTGGCTTTCTAGCTTCCCTTGTCCAGAGGATATTAAAATGCTAGGTTGAGGTTAAGCCATCATACTTGGCTTTCTACTATTAACATGATGTACTAAAGTAGAGACAATGACTAGATATTATGGATAAAATGTAACATTGATAGGTTAATAAAGGTGATTGAATCCATTCATGGTCTTGTATTAATTTTGTTATTAACATACATAAGAAAAATGTTTTTAAACAGAAATCCTTACTGGCGTTTTGTCTTAGAATGAAGTATAAACATTTTAATTTACAGATTCCCATGGAAAGAAATTGCCCTGTTTTTTTTTTTTATTTTATTCTTTAAAAGAAATGTATTCAACAACCATTCATTTGAAACAAACTAAAATAGACTTCACAGGAAGATTAACTTAGGACATACACACAATACACTGTTATATTGGGGTGGGGGTTCAGAGACCCTAGTTTACTTTGATTTTTCCTTATGAAAAGTATGTTTGTGATATCTTCTAATGAACCATTTAAAAATAAACTCAAGTCTTACAAAAAACTACATCTCTTTATTGAAGAATTTATAGTTGTTTGAAAAATACAGAATTTTAGCATTGATAAGAATGAAGCATGTTGAAAAGTAAGCACACAAAATGAGGGTAATGATGCAGCATTCCTATCCCAGCATGAAGGAAAGTAATACCTTTTAATGAAAATGAAGTTAGATTTTTATTACAGCTTGAGTTAAACAGTATTACAAAACACCCTGTGATTCATAGAAATCTAGCATAAATATATAGCAGATAGTCTGTAAAATGGTAGAGATCTCATCATGCATTATCTTTTCATGCTCAGACTTCACATATAGTCTCAGCATACAGCTCAAATAAAATCATAAAAATAGACTTGCTTAAAAGGGATAATTTTGATAGTATATTCAGACACTTTTCTTTTGAAAGTATATCATTAGATTATCAACCCCATTTTTAGCTGAAATGAAACTTACTGATTCAAATGAATTTTTTTCAGTAATTTGTAGATAATTTATGAAAATTATATTAACAGAAAGTATCTATTCAGGAAATCTTTTCAGCTCATAGTAAAAAATGGAAGTTTAAATAAACGTGAATAGTAGGACCTTTTCCCCTCAGATATAATTTTTCCCCCTGAAGATAATTTGATCTAATAAGTTAAACTAAGTAGAGTTTCATGGAATTAACTCACCAATAGGAAGCATACACACCAATAAAAGGAAATTTTTTTAAAGTATATATAATAAGTTTTTGATGTTAATTTTGTTATAAAAGTATCTCAGAACATTATTACAACACTGATAAATAATATACAAATGATCTCTTAAAATACCATGAATAGGGAGCCAGCTTCCCTAAAAATGTTATTGTTAATGTCAATATCTTGCTTTCTTAAAATGACTTTGTAAAACCTGATAAATATTCTCAGCAATCCTTTCTAATAATAAACATCTAATATTGCTATTAGATTGCAGACTTTTATACATAGTAAACAAAATAGCTTTAAATGAATGTGACAAATACCATAGTATTTCCATCAATATTTTTTTCCATAATGAACCAGAAGTACTTTGGAGCATGACTGCAGCATCTACCATTTTCCAGGAATTGTAGTCCCACATTCATACCACTGGACATAAGTGATTTGGGTGTGGCCACCTATTTCTCCAAATTGGACAGGTTCCTGGCGAACTGCTCTGAAATAGCCTAAGGAGGAAAATAGTTTTGTTTAATAGTTGCTGTGTTTTATTTTTGCCCTCATTGCTCATAGATTCAAGGATAGTGCTGAATGACTGAAAGTTACTCTGAAGCAAAGTAATTTGGAAAACTTCAGAGCAACAGAGGCCCTGGTATCTTTCCTTGGGTATAATGGCTCCTTAATCATAGGACCTGAAAAATTTTTGACATTTGCCTTAGCAAGTTAGGATGGAATGGTTGGTAGTATCTGAGAGCAGTTTTAACTGCCAGTTAATATATTCATAGACCTTGTTGTCATCTTTTAGTATGTTGATATTCTTAAGTACCATTGAATGAACTGTTACTGAAAAGTCTAACCAAATGATTGAAAAGATTTAAAGAACCTCCTGGTGCTTCCTGAGTAATTTGGACAATTAATTTACCCACTTCTGAACTACTTAAACAAGGATTAAATTAATTTTCAGTCTTTTTTCAACCCATTACATGGCTTGGTGCTAAAGTGTCTTTAGCAAATTACAGAGGTTATTAACTTCTCAACAAAATTGTTGTATTTTATTTATGTATTTATAAGGCAAATAGTATTATTTTTCATATATAGTAGCAATAAAATTTACTTCAAAAATTTTTAAAAGGAATAAAAAAATAATGCAGTTATGCACAATATAACAAAAGCCATAAAGTTAATCATGAATGACTTAAGTTTGGAGAACACTGATCTCTTATAGCTGTTTTTGCAAATATAGATTTTCTTGGAGTACATTTGTACACGTCTGTGTAACTTTCCTTGGCTCTAAGTAGAGAAACTTAAGTTTATTACTTTTTCTAGCCAAGTAATTAGAGCAGTAGGTCTGCAGAATTCTTTTTAACTTGATGACTTTCTTCAGCTTGATTTCTTTCTGAGTTAATCTGGAAAGCTCTCTTGCTCATGAGAAGGATCAGAAAGCATACCTTCCTTTGTGGGTAACTGGTCAGAAGTGAGTTGCTGTCCTGTGCGTCCATCTAAAAACGAATCTACAAACTGGCAGTGATCTTCTCCATGGCCTCTTTGATCGCCAATGTTATAAAATTTTCCTGAAGAACCAGAAATTAAAAGAATGAAATATTGCTTTGATATGTGACAATTCTGAAATAAATTGTTTGAAAGAATCATCTTCCTGTTCTTGGATATTTCCCCTCTACTCCTGTATCAGCCTAGTTCAAGCTACCAAAGTCTCTTGATTCAACAGGTGTTCTTATTTTCATTCTTCCTCTCTGTTCTTCCTTCCCTCCCTTCAGAGACTGATTTTTAAAAATGCAAGTGAGATGTTACTACCCTCTTTAAACCTCTCCAGTGGTCTCCCACTATACTGAGAATAAAACTTAAAACTCCTTACCTGATTTCAAAGCTCCATGTATTCAGCCCTGCTTGTTTGATGTTCCCCTGTCTGTACTACAATAGTGGAACTGACCAGGTGTGTTCTGCCTCAGTCTTTGCACTTTTTCTTTCCCCTGTCTATACATCCGTTGTCCCCCTGACCTTTGTGTGGTTGCTTCCTTCTCATAATATTATTATTAGCAGAAGTGATACCTTTTCAGAGAGCTTCCCTAAAACCATTCTAACTAAAGGCACTTCCAATCCTTGTTGAGCTGTTCTCTCACTCTTTTAAAAATTATCTTCAAAGCACCTGTATAAAATTCATATTTATTTTTTGTCTGTGTGCCTCTACTGAAGAGAGAAGGAAGAGAGAGAGATGTTACATGAAAGCAGGAATATGTCTTGTTTGCTGCTTTGCCATCAGCACCTAGAAGAGTGCCTGGCATGAAGTATATAGCATTTGCTAAGTGAAAGAAAAGATGCATGTTTCTATGTTGGTCATCCTTGCATATTTGTTAAAAATGTTTATGAATATAGAAAATTACAACTACATGAGGTTAGAGCCCTTTTGGTATTATAAAGATGAAATACTCTTTCCATGATTATTGTTAGACACATTCATTTTATTACTAATATGTTTTTTATCCTAGAATGTTTGTAACAAAGATGAATATGCTAGTGCCTGTACATTCAAGTTTGCCTTGACAGCATGGTTTCAAAATTGCATTTTCATTATTTACTTCTTAAAAGCATCTTTTAAGTCCTTGTTTTCTAGCAGTGTGACAATTTCAATAACATTTTTTTCTTAGGAAAACTAAAGATGCTGAATTACCCCCTAGTTCCTGGACTTCTCCATGAAAAAAACCATGTTATAAAATGCTGCAAAACATTCCCTGAAGGCAAAGGCTAAAAATAATGCTGGTTGCCCTGCTTACCTGTGAGTGAGTCGCTCAAATAAATCTTGTATCTTAGAGAGTTGCACAGTTGCACTCCAACAAATTTTTTATACCACGTTCTTTTGACATACTGTTTGCCCTTACATTCTGAGTAAGAGTCTGAATTAAAGGGTCTTTCAGTCCAGATGGCATCTCTTCCTGCTGCATAAGCAAAACACAGTTTGAATTTAGTATCTTGATTCTTGGGTACTGAGGGGATGTCCTAAAAGCTTTCCAAAAGCAGTCTGCAAAGTTCATTGCCAACTTGTTGGTACCCGTTTTTTTTCCAGTACAATTATTGGAGCCCAAAATACAAAGGTTTTAAAAAGTAAATCCAAAATAAGTTCCTTCCTGTCAATAGTAACAGTGAGAGAAATCTCAGAACAGTGTGTTTTGCTGTTGAGTAACCTCTGCAGTGCTCGATGCTGGCTATCGTTGAGGAACAAATTTAGGTTTCCTTTTTGCAGAATATAAAATTTAAACAACTGCTTTGATGTGATATGTTATTAAAAGTGGAAATGAGACGGTTTATCTTTTTTTAGTTTTACTGGGGGGATGATGGTTCTAGGGATTAGAACCCAGGCGCACTTTACCACTGAGCCACGTCCCCAGTCCTTTTTTGTTTTATGAGACAGGTCTCTCCAAGTTCCTAAGGCTTGCCTCAAACTTGAGATCTTCCTGCCTCAGTCTCCCAAATTGTTGTATTTACAAGTATCTACCACCATACCTGGCGAGGGTAGCATATTTTGACTTCGTTATTGAACAGAAAATTTTGAAATATCTTGACTTGCCCCTAGAACATCATAGGCTCTCAAATGTTAATCAGTGTATTAGGTAAACATTCACACCTGATCTTCTAAGAAGTCTAAGTAGTAAAATAGCGAAATCATCAATTTTGCTGACCCTTTTTAGTTCAGTCAGTTTAGAAAAAGCATGTAGTTGTTCACTGAGACACTTACCAGAAACCGGCTCGCTCACTCTCGGGTCCGCTGAGAAGAAACGACAAAAAATGTCAGCTATTATTAATGTTAAGTCCTAACATTCCAGTGGAATGATGAAGACAGATGCTTACTGTTATGTCTTATTGCAAAATGGTACCCTCTTGCTGAAGACTGAATTTGCAAATTTGTTTTGAAAATAGTTCTTGATTGAATCATCTGCCAGATCTTCAGCTGTAGTTTTTATGTGTGATTTAATAGTTGGGAGACTGTTGCTATGCCAGCCTTCAATTTTGAAAGCTTCCTTTTAGTTTCACACAAAAGCAATTCATGGTAAAGTCACCAAGATGCCATGAACATTAGTTGCTATAAAGTTTATACAAATGTATGTGCCAGTGTGTCTTGTTAAGGAACTGGAGCTTCCACTGTCTAGGAAATTTCACAAAACAATCATAAATTCCCTTTCTTTTTTTTAAATTATTTTTTTAAATACACAACAGCAAATGCATTACAATTCTTATTACACATATAAAGCACGATTTTTCATATTTTTGTATATAAAATATGTTCACACCAATTCATGTCTTCATACATGTACTTTGGGGGTTTTTTTGCATTAAAATATACCACAATTTTTCATATCTCTGTATATGAATTCCCTTTCTTGATGTACTAATATTTTGATTCTAGGCATACAAAGGAGCATTCATTCAGATTTTTGAATATAGATTATGCCTTTTTTTCTCACATCAAGGTAAAAGAGGAAAAACCTAAGTAATTGCTATAAGGGTACCTTCATCAATTAGTTTTTTTCCCCTATGGATTATTATTTTGGAATTCAAGTTTAGCTGGGTTTCCCATGAGCTTCCCATGCAAAACATTGTTCCCGCCATGCCCCTTTACATCCTTCTTGATGGGATTACCTGACTCAGTACTGAATGCCACTGTGTTGCTGGCTGGGCCTTCACCAAGTGGGTTTTTGGGTTTCACCTGGAATTCATAGCTGTGTAGAGAGAAAAATAAACTATTATTGAGGGGTAGGAAAGCAGCATTCTCTTGCTGTACTGACATCCTTCCTGGCTCTATTTGAAATTGTGATTACAGTGAATGGTAATATTCTGGAAGTAAGTTGTGGGAAGAATAATGCTTTCTTAATTTTACTTTCAAAGCATCTAAGGTTTTGTATAAGAAAAATATTGTTAATATAAAAAGATGGTTGTTTTTTTAAAAATTATTAGAAATATTTGGACAGGTTGGGAATAGATATATAGGAAAGTATGTGCTGAACCAAAGTTAATTTCAGCACTGAGAAGCCTTCATTTCTTTAAAATGTGTCAGCTACTGCCTGGGACAAAGAAATGGAAAAGTCCCTTTTTATTCCCTATTACCAACACTGGTATAACCTTGAATTTTAAGTCAGTGTTCCTAAAGTGGTATTTGAACTACTTATATCAGAACCACAAGAGAGGGTGGCAGTGGGGGAAGTTTGTTTAAAATGCAGATTTCCTGTCCACGCTGGCTACTGAGTCTCTAAATCATTCCAGGAGGAATTTGCAATACATTCCTAGTCCTATACCCACTGAGGTTTGAGAATGCCTAGACTAAGCTGTTGGGCACAGATACCCATGAAAAAGTTTCTTTTCAAGCCTGGTTGTAGCTCCTGGGACTTGGGTCTCCATGTATCACAGGAAGTCATAGTGTTCAGAGAATGGCTGGTAGTATTGCTCAAATGGAGCACAAGCACAGATAGACTTTTCTGCCCCTCAGTAAGCCAGCTTCAAATTGCTAGGCTCCTCACCCTTTGTTTAAATTAAAAAAAACAAACAAACAAACCCCAAGATCCTTTAGAATTATAGGACTTTTCTATCCTTAAGAATTATTAAATTGTGCAGTATTTGACAAATTTTATTCATTAGATGCACAAGCAGAGAATACTTGTAAGAAATTTAAATAGTATCGGGCTGGGGTTGTGGCTCAGTGGCGGAGTGCTTGCCCCTCACATGTGAGGCACTGGGTTCGATCCTCAGCACCATATAAAAATAAACTAAATAAATATATTGTGTCCATCTATAACTAAAAAATATTTTAAAAAAGAAATTTAAACAGTAAAGTGATTTGCCATTTGCCTAAAAATGATTTCCTTTCAGCATCAGACTTAGCAGCAAAATAACTGAATTTAAAACCACCCGGAGTTAGCTGATAGTACTGTGTGAGTTCCAGAATTGTACATGATTTTTAGTATAGATGGTACCAAGGTAGCATTAGAAAAAAACCTTTCTGAGTCTCAAGGAGTCACTTTCTTGATCACTGTGGCATTTCATTAAAACACTGTTAGACTCTAGTGTAAGATTCTAGCATTACAGCAATGGCAAACACTTTTCAAATTCTTACTTTGTGTCAGATGCATTAATCATTCTGCATATATAAAGTAATCCAACACACAAATCCTGTGTGACATTATTCTAAACTTTAGCTGAGAATAATGAGGCCCATAACTATTATATAATTATTGTCTTTGCTTTTTCAAACTTCAAAACTTTGTGAAATGGGAATTAAAACATTTCTTTTCAGATTTTTAATGAGTGAATGCAAATGAAAGCATTTTGTAAATGGAACAACTGATGTAAGGTCATTGACATTTACCATAAGAAATGCTGACATGAAAGCACATATGCCATTTCAATAAATAAATCACATATACATCAGGTGTTTTCACGTGGACTTTTTTCCTAGACATTAAATTCTTCCTAAAAGGTCTAATGCTCTACAAAACAAACTAACAAAAACAGAGTTCATAAAACTAGTGAATTGAAAATGGAAGGAAAAAAAATCACAGGCATCTGGAGTTTGATTTAAGTGGAAATGCATTCCACATTCATTCCAGGCCATTGCCATCAGTGCTGTGTCTTGGCCAAATTGGATTGCTGAAATCATCTCTGTGTCTTTTTATTTCACAGTTATTTACACTTAAGCTTCATTTGTAGCATGGCCACAAATATTCATAAGCTACTTTTTCTGTGTTTTTTTTTGCCAGAATTTTATGATACTTGACAAGTTGTGAAGAAATGATTTTAAACTAAGTTTAATTAACAACACAAGGGTATTTTTTTGGCTGAATAAACCCTATATAAACAAAAAAATGTTTGTGATGGCAAAATCTTTCCCCTCAAATACTTTTTGATCATGAAATGAACACCATAGGTCGGTAACATCTCATAGAAAATATTGATTGTACTTAGGATAAGCAGAGGATGCTACTTAAAAGTTTTTTAGACAATGAAGTTCTTTGAAATTTAAAAATAAACTTCAAATGGCAATTTTAGAAGCTAAAGTTGAAAACATTCTACAAATATTTGAACTAAAAGTCAAAGATACAAAATAAGAGAATATAAGAAAATTGGAGGATTATTCCAGATAGTTTAGTACTCAGCTGGCAGGAATTCTAGAAAACAGGGGGGAAAGGATGGTAGAAAATTATTGCAGAAAAATCATATAAGAAATTTCCCAGAACTAAAAGATGTGTGTCCATATTGAAAAGATCAATTCTGTGCCCACCAAAAGGAAAAAAGAAAAGAACAAGGATTAATTAAAGCGTGTGAGTTGCAAAATTTCAGAGTACTGGGGAATAAAGATCCCAACAACTGAGAACAATACAGTGGGTTCCATTTAAAGTATTCAGAATAAAAAATGATATTCAACATCTTAATAGCAACAACACTGGAAGTTAGGGGGGAAAAAATGGAACAATGCCTTCAAAGTCTTCATTTTATCATGATTTTATCCTACACCAATAATATCAAAGTAAACCATGGACTTTCTAAAGCATGTAAATAACTAAAAAAAATATCATTTTATATATACTTTCCCAATATATGTTTCTATAGAAGCCATGAAGAGAGGGAGTAAATAAAGAAGAGAGACGTGGCTGCAGGAATTAGGGAATTCAACATAGTCAAAAATGATGGCAAGGGATTCAGCAAGAGGTAGGTGTTCCCTAAGACAAATCCAGAGAACAAAGAGATGGCGTGTTTGACCATTTTGAGAAATGAGTGGCCTAGAAATAGAGATTTAATTAACAGAAGAAATATCTAAAGAAATAATTAAAAAAAAATGTTTGCCTCTGGGAAACAGACGTTAAGAGTAGAAAGGAACTGCTTTTTTAGTATCTGCAGCATGGTCCAGTGGCTAAATCTATTTTTCATTAAGTAATACAAAATACCTGGGGCGGCCTACTTTAAAGAAAATAGGTATATTTTGGCTCATGGTTCTGGAGGTACAAGATTCAGCAGCCACATCTGTTGATGGCATTCTTGCTGGCAGAGTCCTGAGGTGGTGCAGAACATCACATGGTGACAGCCAGGGCATGTGTCTGAATCTCTTTATAAAGCTACGAGGATTTAATCATGGGAGATCCACCGTAATATTTTTTTCCATTTTATATATAGACAGCACAATTTTTCATATCTCTGGTTGTACACAAAGTAGAGTCACATCCTTCATGTCTTCATACATGTACTTAGGGTAATGATGACCATTGCATTCCATTGGCTTTCCTACCCTTATGTCCCCTCCCTTCCCCTCTTCCCTTTTGTCCTATCTAGAATTTATTTAATCCTCCCACACTAGCATCTTATGGATCAGCATCTTTAAATCAGAAATCATTTGGCATTTGGATTTTTGGGATTAGCTAATTTCACTTAACATATTCTTCAGCTCCATCCAAATATTTACCTGCAAATGCCATGATTTCATTCTCTTTTAATGCTGCTATAAACATTGACGTGGCTGTGTCCCTGAAATATGCTGTTTTTAAGTCCTTTGGGTATAGACCAAGGAGTGGGATAGCTGGGTCAAATGGTGGTTCCATTCCAAGTTTTCCAAGGATTCTCCATACTGCTTTCCATATTGGCTGCACCAACTTGCAGTCTCACCAGCAATGTATGAGTGTACTTTTCTCCTAACATCCTCGCTAACACTTATGGTTGTTTATATTCTTAATGGCTGCCATTCTGACTGGAGTGAGATAAAATCTTAGAGTAGTTTTGATTTGCATTTCTCTAATTGCTAGAGATGTTGCACATTTTTTCATATATTTCTTAGTTAATTGTATATCTTCTTTTGAGAAGTGTCTGTTCAGTTCCTTGGCCCATTTATTGTATCTCAGTGACAAATCCCTCTGAAAGGAAAACGAGGAAAACTACCCCGTTAACAATAGCATCAAACACAAACAAACAAACAAACAAAAACACTTGGGAATCAATGAAAGAGGTGAAAGACTTCTACAATGAAAACTACAGAATGCTAAAGAAAGAAATTAAAGAAGACCTTTGCAATATGGAAAGATCTACCTTGTTCTTGAATAGGCAGAATTAATATTGTCAAAATGACCATACTACCAAAAGCACTATACAGATTTAATGCAATTCCAATCAAAATCCCAATGATATTCTTCATAGAAATAGAAAAAGCAGACATGAAATTCATCTGGAAATAAGAGATCCAGAATAGTTAATGCAATCCTTAGCAGGAAGAGTGAAGCAGGTGGCATCACTATACCAGATCTCAAACTATACTACAGAGCAATAGTAACAAAAACAGCATGATATTGGCACCAAAATAGACTGGTAGACCAATGGTACAGAATAGAGGACACAGAGACTAACCCACATAATTACAGTTATCTTGTATTTGACAAAGGCGCCAAAAATATACATTGGAGAAAAGATAGCCTCTTCAAAAATAGTGCTGGGAAAACTGGAAATCCATATGCAACAAAAAGAAATTAAACCCCTATCTCTCACCATGCACAAAACTCAACTCAATGTGGATCAAGGACCTAGGAATTAAGCCAGAGACACTGCATCTATTAGAAGAAAAAATAGGCTCCAATCCCCATCATGTTGGATTAGGCCCAACTTTCTTAATAAGACTCCTATAGCGCAATAATTAAAATTAAGAATCAATAAATGGGATGAATTCAAACTAAAAAGTTTCTTCTCAGTA